CAGTCAGTAGGCCAGGTAGCTGTCTTCCAAATTTCTTGTCATGTATGAGTGATTACCTCCAGTGCCACATCAGTTTGTCAAAAGATTTCAATATATATTCCATCAATTCCTGGTGCTATGTTCTTTGCCACTGCCTTAAATGCACTTTGAACTTCCTCCTTTAAGAGCATTGGTTCTTGATCATATATTACCTCTTGAAATGGCTGAACACCAACCACTTCTTTAAGGTACAGTAACTCTGTGTACTCCTTCCATCTTCTTTTGGTGTTCTGCATCATTCATTATTTTGCCCATAGAATCCTTCAATATTACAAGTCAAGGATTGAATTTTTTCTTCAGTTCCCTCAGCTTGAGAAATTCTAAGTATGTTCTTCCTTTTTGGTTTTCTAACTCTAGGTCTTTGCACATTTCATTATAACAGTCTTCTCAAATTGACTATTGAAATTTTCAGTGTTGATTGTAGACCTATGCAAAATGAAATCTTTGACAACTTAAATCTTATCTCATGATGTTATTTACTGGTCTAGTTGTGAGCATTTTTGTTTTCTTTACAAGGAGGTGTAACCCACACTAAAGGCTCTGGTCTTTGATTTTCATCAGTAAGTATTTTAAGTCCTCTTCATTTCCAGCAAGCAAGGTTGTATCATCTGCACACCACAGGTTGTTAAAGAGTCTTCCTCCAATCCTGATGTCACGTTCTTCTTCATATAATCCAGTTTCTCAGATTATGTGCTCAGCATACAGATAAAATAAGTATGGTGAAAGAATACAACCCTGGCACACACCTTTCCTAATTTTAAACCATTCAGTATCCCCTTGTTCTGTTTGAACAACTACCTCTTGGTCTATATACAGGTTCCCCCTGAAAACAAGTGTTCTGGAATATTCATTCTTTGTAATGTTATCCATAGCATTTTATAAGTCCCACAGTTGAAAACCTGTGAATAGTCAATAAAGTACAGAAAACCACCTTTCTAGTATTCTCTTTCAACCAAGATCCATCTGACGCCAGCAATGTGTAGTTCCACGTCCTCTTTTGGATCTGGCTTGAATTTCTGGCAGTTCTCTGTCAATGTACCATTGCAGTTGTTATTTAATTATCTCCAGCAAAATTTTACTTTCATGTGATATTAATGATACAATTTGATGATTTCCACACTCTGTTGGGTCACCTTTCTTTGGAATGGGCATAAATATAAATCTCTTCCAATTGGATATCCAAATTTCTTGCCTTAGATCAGTGAGCACCTCCAGTGTTTCATTAGTTTGTTGCAAGATATCAATTTATATTTGGTCAACTTCTGGAACCTTGTTTTTCACCAATTACTTCAGTGCAACTTGGACTCCTACAGTACCATCAGCACTTGGTCATTTACTACTTTTTGAACTGGTTAAACACTGACCATGACTCTGTGTACACCTTCCATTTTCTTCTGGTGCTTTCTGCATCATTCAATATTTTGCCCATTGTTGTTATTGTTAAGTACTGTCTAGGCAGCCTGACTCATAGCACCTTTCTCTAGTTGAAAGAACTTAAAAAATAACTTTATGTATCTACTTACAGTATTGAAGGATTCTGCCCATAGTACACTTCAACATTGGTTAAGTCAAGGCTTGAATTTTTTCTTCCGTTCTTTCAGCTTGAGAAATGCTGCACATGTCCTTCTCTTTTCGTTTTCTAACTCCAGGTCTTTGCTGACCTTTGAAACGTTCTGTTCAGCTCTTTTACTTCCTCATTTCTTCCATTTGCTTTAGCATTTCTACACTGGAAATAAGTTTCAGAGTCTCTCCTGACATCCAATATCGCCTTTCTTTTTGCTTTCTTCTTGTATGATGTTCTTGATATCATCCCACAGCTCTTCTGGTCTTCGATCTTTAGTGTCTAATGCATCAAATCTGTTCTTGCAATGATTTCTAAATTCAGGCAGGATATATTCAAGATCAAATTTTGTCTCTCATGGACTTGCTTTAATGAGCAACTGCAATTCCACTCCTGTTGTTGCTGTTGCTAAGTGCCATTGAGTCGGTTCTGACTCAGCGACCCCATATAGGGTTCCCAAGGAGTGACTGGTGAGCTTGAACCACCGAACCTGCAGTTCAAACTGACTTTGCAGTCCAGCACATTAACCCTCAGCACCACACCCGGACTCCATTTCACTCCTAGGTATCACAAAATTTCAAAATAGGAGGTATAAACAAAATTCTTTTTTAAAAACTTAAAACTGTGCAAAGGAAATCAAAATAACATTGGACTTTTCGAAATCAAACAGTGGTCAGACGATAATGGAGCAATGATTTCAAAATTCTGAATGAATTAATTTGACCTAGAATTCTACATTCAACATAACTAATTACCTGCGAGAGAAGAATACAGAGCTTTTCAGACATGGTGCTGTTAAGTGCCATCAAGTCAGTTCCAACTCAAAACAACCCTACTTAGGGTTTCTGAGAAATAGCTGGTAAGTTTGAAACACCAACCTTGCAGTTTAAAGCAACCCTGTGGTCACGTGCTTATCCTATAGCACCACACCAAGAGTGAACACAGCAGGCCTGAGACTGCGATCCTCAGAATGGCCTGCTTACAAGTTTGGCCTCTGGGAACTTAGTGGGTTCACACCACTCTCAGGATGGAGGATAAGAGTAGCTCAGTGAACCGAAACTGTGACATAGGTTGGAACAGAATCTAACAAATAACAAAAACAAAGCTAATTATTAACCAAAAAAAAAAAAGCTTAAGAAATGGTCTCTGTTATGTTTCTATTTGGGATGACAGAAAAAAATTCTAGAAATAATGCTAATGGCTACACACTACTGTGAATGTACTTAACTGAACTGCACACTTAAAACTTGCACAAATCATACACAAAAACTTATTTTGCTACCATTAAAAAAACAGTTATAGCATATGCAGTACCTTGGAATTACTTTATATGGCTTTTCTATCCAATGTCTTAATTCCCTCTGAGTGATTGGGTGGGACCATGCAAATAATGTATATAGGATGCTAAGCTGGGATTGATTCGTTTTGCCCTCCAGCTAGGTTTAAAAAGAGCCATTTCAGAAGCAGAGACAGAAGATCCCAGGGCCATCAAGAAGGAAGAGCATGAGTGGAGTGTGCAATCCCTACCTAGAAAAGCGGCAACAGTAGAGGCAATGGCAGAAGCAGTGGCATGGAGAGACAGAACAACTGAGGGCTCTAGGCCCATGGACTAGGGCAGAGGCCAAGGGACCATGAGGCCGAAAAGCAAAAGACAAGAGTATCTGTAGTATGGCAGAGAAGAGGTGCTCCTGACTGGAGAACTGCTGCATCATGAGCTGTTTTTTGATCCTGGATTATATCCTGTTCACTTCCCTAAAAAACCCTAATTGTGAGTATTGTGAGTTCTGTGTAGCCACTGTGATGGATTATCAAACCCAGCTGTGAAGCACAGCATGCTGTGGGAGGGATGGCTGGTATCAGAATCAAGAAGCTTTTAGGATGGAAGCACGTCTGAGTTCTGCTTCATAGGAATCTTTCCCCCTGGCAAAGCCAGAGGAAGTCAGATACAATCCCCACATGGTCTTTTCAGTATATTATCTAGCTTAGCTGTATTTACATAAGCATAATAATTTAAACAATGAATACTGACTTAACCAAAATTATAATCAAGCATGTTCAGAGGATAGGAGAGGGGAAGGAAAGATTAAGAGAGCCAATTGTTCATCTACCTTGATAAGAAGTTAAATAAAACTCATTGTCTAAAATTAATAAATCAAGAGATAACAGAGCAACTTCACTCTACTTCGTAATATGAGGGTCAATTTTCAAAGGTTGGCTATCAGTCAAATATAAACGTCATGAATAAGTAAGACAGTTCTTTATTACAAGCCTTTTACCCCACCTGACTTTTTAGATCCCCACTGTCCAATAAAAATATGATAAAAGGGGGCTTCAAATAGTTATTGGGAAATTTTCATTATTTTTTCATTCCATGTTTCCATAAATTTTTTGAAGCCCCCTCACAAGCCACATGTGTACATTTTCCAGTAGCCATACTTCTTAAAACATCAAAGAAACTGTTTAAATGTATTTTAGTAATGTACTTTATTTAACCGAATATATCTGAAATACTATTACTACAACATGGGCAACTAGCGATATTCAATTGTCTGTGCTTTAGAAAGCAGTAACAGCAAGGAATGACTTACCTTCTGCACTTGGGCTTTAACCACCAGCCCTGGTAATAAGTTATGAAGGGTCCAATTTTGCTCCTCAGTAGCAATGGCGGCAGAAACCTCTGAATGACAAATAGACAGACGAACAACTCCTCCGTTGCTTTTTACATCTTCAATGACACAGTTCAGGTACTGACCCACCTTCAGTTTAGCACCTGTAAGTCCGAACCCAGCCCCCAAAAGAAAAAATACCTCTGTGAGAAGGACCTTTAACTTGGGCCCAAGCAAGAACTGAAAAGATCAATGACAGCCTAACTGTCATCTAACATTCCCATACTCGGAGTCTCTAAAGGGCCAATTACAAGAATGGAGTGCAGATGCCCTGACTCATATGGCATCAACTACCCCACAAAATGATGAAAATCTCAGCACATCAGGAGAGTGCAGGTGCCGATGTTCTAGAAGCCCAAAGTTCAGTAAAATCTTCTGAGTGAAAAAATGGAAACTAGTCTCAATAAGAAGATAAATAACGGAAAATGAGCAGAGCACGCAGAAGTAAATCCATCCATGTATAGTTAGCTGACCTTTGAAAAGGGTCAAATGCATTAAATGGGGAAGAGATTATCTCTTCAACAAATGGTGCTGGCAAAACTGGGAATCCATTTGCAGGAGATTGAAATAAGACCCATATGTCACACCATATGCAAAAACAAACTCAACATGGATTCAAGACCTGAAATGCAAAACCTAGAACTAACTATGTTGTTG